CTTAAAGTTGTAGGGAAACAGCCGTTTCAACCCTTGCATTTCCAAATTCTCCTGAGTGGCGCCCGACTCTACACGAGTGAATAAAGTGATTGATTGGTCGATTTATCAAGAGGGCAGGATTGTTGTTGCGGAAGGTTCACAACCAAGTATGGTTGTGGCCGGTTTGTCGGAAGCAGGAGAGTTTAGTGTCGGAGGTCGTGGATGAGTCTCGTCCGTCATAGTTTTTATTTAGAGGAGGAAAGCGGGGACGAAGATGTTGTGGAAGAGGACGCCAGGGCGGCAGAAGCTTGGTTTGGTGTAGAAGGCTTCCAGCCGTACATGTTTAGCTCTACGCCTGCTGAAGACACAGACGTCCATCCCCGTGAACACTGGGACGGAACTCAATGGGGAAGGATATTATTCTTATTTCAACCGTTGCGTAGATTAGCTACGCCATATGAATCAAGATGCTATGACAGAAAAAATTTGACAGATGACCATTGATATATGATTGGCACATATTTTGAATGGAAGCTGTGGGGAATGTATTCCATATGTGCAGAACGTTCCGTTTGACCATGATTTGAGCTCGATTCATTCGTAAATTTGTTGTTCTAACACAGCCAGTAGGGTGTGTGTTCATAAACGATACATGACTACATTCAGAAGTCAGAAAATAAAAAATGTAAACAATAAAAACTACCTGGCAGGAGAAAAAAAAAAAACTGTCCACATGAAGGATCGACAGACAAAGAGAAGTTGAAAGTCATCTTTTATTGCACAATAAAAGATCACACATACCATGTTCTGACTAGTCAGATTGGTCCACATGGGAATATAGAGCTATAGATACAAACAAGAGAAGGAGGAACCAAAAAGATTCAAACCCATCGAGTGATTTATCTGTTTCATTGGTGAAAGGTTTGCAGCGCCGGGTCGACCCGTTCTCCACATGTACGAGCTTCGTTCAACAATGTTTTCAGCAGTGAGGCGGCTGGATCAGTTCCTGATGAGTGTCCCCAGAACCTGCAAGATTGCAGTCCAAATCTCCATCTGACTGCAGTCTGCTGAGGTTCTGTCTGATGGGAGGCCTTCAGGCAGAACTCTGCTACAAACCAAACATGCACAAAACCTTCTGGAAACTTGGAATAAAAGAACATTCTGATGAGAAATTTTAGTTGGAAGAATAAAAGATCCAGATCCAAATCGGTGCCGTCGAATAAGCAGAACTTTTGTCCACCGACTGTTTAAGGCAAACTTTATTAGGATATTTTAACTTTACAGAGCAAACAGAGAGAGGCGGACATGTGAAGCTAAAGTGGACTTGGTTTCTTTAGATTTTCTCAATGTGAGATTTCCCAGATTCCATCCCTTTGTCGGCCAAAAGAAAGAAACGGGTCGGACTTCCCGTCCCGGTTCAGCACTTCAAACTGGGGGTCAGGAAAATGGACGTTTTAAAAATGAAACAAAGCGAGCAGCAGAGATGCTAGGACGGATAGGGATGCTCTCCGATGTAGGTACCAGTCATGCCACTGACGTTACGCTACATTATTGGCTGAACGTTGCCACATGATGTAAAACATTATGGTTGCCAAGACAACGATAATATCACGCAGCATCAGTGTGCCGAGTCGGGAGCATCTGTAGCGTTAGCGTGTCTAACGACCAATGAAGTTTTACCTGATCGATAACAAAACTGAAAAAACCTGTTTATATTGAGCAAAGTAACTGTTAGACCATGATATAACCTGTGTTCAGTAGCTAACAGGTTAGCCTTTTTTTAGCTTGTGTCACTACCCGATCCGTCCCCGAAAGCACAATCCGTCCTGCCTATGCCCTATTGGCTCAATTTTATTTTGTTAAAGACCTTGATGGCATTTTTTCCTCCCTTCAAATAGAAAACGTACCAAATATAATGTCTTAAAGGTTTATAATGTACTTCCTGAGAAAATAAATGCCTTAAAATCCTGTTTTATCATTTTCTGCCCGATCTGTGCCAGAAATGCGATGCTACGCTACTTCTGGTAGCTTACTTTTTCAACTTTGGATTTAAACATAAAGTCTTTTTTTTCGTTTTATATTTTCCTTTCGTGTTAACATTATGGTATATATGGCGTAATGTAAAGACAAAAAAACTAAAATGCAGATAAACATGATTTAATAATATTTTGCAGGACTGCTCTGAGCATGTCCCATGATGATGTCAGAGAAGCAGTTTAACGAAGAAAAACATAAAAAGCATCAAACTTGTCTCACAAAAGTCCTAAAATCTTTTTAAAGATGTGTATTAGCATTCTTTAGACAGTAAAGGATATAAATAAATAATTTCAGTACTGCAATTACATTATTTATGGACAACCGGACGTATATCTGTTTGCGCATGCGCAGGACGGTTCGCGTAGTGACAGCTCGGTCAGTTAGCCATATTAACTTACACTACTTTTAACTTTCTGTCAACAACAACCATTAGTTTTCTACAAGTGGAATAAGTTTTATTTGCCTAAAATCTTTACAAAACTCATTTTTTAAGATGTCCTCTTTGTCCTCCACTGCCCTCAGATCTTAATAAAAGAATAAAAATAAGCGGAGGCTTTTTTTTGGTCATTAGCAGAGCTCATTCTTAGAACGCATTACTTTCCTTCAAGACAGACAATGATTGTTTTTTTTTTTTTACTTTCGGCTACTTTAGATTGCCAATGAAATATAAAATAATAGCAAATATTGGTAATAATATGTTGAGTGTTCAAAAGAGATTTGATCAGGTGCAGGTGCAATACATTTTGTCCGACTGGAGTTGCCATATGATGATGACATAAGAAGGGACAGGACCCTAAGCAGATCTGGTACCTACACCGGCTTGGCTTCCTGTCGGCCATCTTGGGGCCTAAACATTTAAAAATATCCCAAACTGGAAGCTAAGTGCTGTGAAAACCAAGAACCCCCGCTGGAAATGTTCTCAATTCCAGTTCAGGAGGCGAAGGCAACAAAGAAATGGTTTACTGTCCATGTGAACCAAAATGCTTCTGCAGTTCAGATCCAGAGTAAAGAAAACAGCCAATCAGAGGTGAGACGACATGGAGAGACTAGAACTGTACAATAAATACATCATTTCAGATCAGCTCCACCCCTTCAGGTGACCCTGATGAAGAAACAGACGCCATTACAGAAGAACGTGGCGGCGCTGACAGGAAGTGATGCGCAGGATGCGCGGAGCTTCATCTTCGTTAAAGACTTTTCCACAGAAATTTAAACCAGACAGACAGCAATCAAACACCGAGCTAATCAAAGACCCGTTCAGTTCTTCTCTTGCTTTAAACAGACACCCACTGATTCCGCTTTGTTCCGGTTCTGGGCTTTGCTGATTCCTCCGTCCATCCTGGACGGGTTTCCCTACAGTCAGTGTTTGGTGTGGGGTAGTTCTGAGCAGTTAGCGTCCTACCTGCACTGAACTGATCTTAGAGGTTCTGATGGACCTAACAAGTCTGTAGATCAGGGGTCTTCAACTTTTCCAGGGAAAGGAACCCCAAACTGATGGTGAAACGGAGCGGGGACCCCCTAATTATATATATGGTATAAAATAGTGTTATATCAAACTGGTCCTATAGTCACTCTATTACAGATGGAGTAATGTAATGAAAGTAATGTCTCTCTGGGATTATTAAAGTATTTCTGATTCTGGTTGATGGGACAGGTGTTGTGAATGAAACGGTGTCCACAATATTGCAATGTTTTTCCCAGCTATCAAAATTTTATTGTATAGATGAAAAAGCAGGTGCTGTATATTTTTTCATCAGAAGGTATTGATGATTTAGTTATTCTGGTATCCATGTTGTTTGGGGTTAGAGGCAGTCCACGTGTTCCACTGTGACGGCCTCTACTACAGATATGGCGCTGCGTCGCACAGCAAAAGCACAGCTCTATGTGCCAGACTGGCGGTGCAGAGTAAGCCCATTTTCCCTCATTGTTTTGAGTAAATTGTTTTTTTTTTTTTTTTTATCAATATTAGGGGCTAAAAAAAAAATCACGACATATCGCCAAATCGATTTTTTCCCCAAACCCCAAGTAGATAAACAGAACCAAATCAGAAGCGTAGATGACAAGTGAATAGAGGTTGGAATCTTGAGGTTGTGAGTTTGAAACCCACTCCCACAGACAGACTGACTGCCCTAGACTTGCTAGCAGGGCTAAATGCTAACGCAACTGCAGAAATATACGCCTACTTCAACAGCCTGGTGGGCAACCTACAGGGACATATGACTACAACCATATAAGGAAGTTTGAATCGAGGAAGAACGATGGAGCAAGAGAGATGGACGGACGGACAGACAAGAGATAGAGAGGAAGAAGAGAGAAAAAAGACAGAAAGAAAGAAAGAGTTAAAAAAAAATGATGAAGCACGTTTATTTTAGTTCTTAACGATCAGCTGGATCAGTTTTTAGTTTTCGAGGATGATCCTTCATGGGAGCAAAGGTCTCTGCTGCTGGTAAGATACTGACGGTTCAGAACTACTTCACACCACCACACCTTCAAACCCAGTATCTGAACTGAAGGAAAACCAGCGATTGTTGGGCGCAGACCCTCATGTTAATTAACATAACCAGTAGCCACGACCTCATGAGGTGGCCGCGTTACCGTGGCAACAGGGGGCGAAATGTGCAAGTGAACATGCTTAGCCCAACGTCAGAGGCACTGATACGCAAACGTTTGTGCTTTAAGGGACAACCGATTGATTAGACGTAGCAGAACCTCCCCTCCCCCGGGCCGTGGAGACGGACCGAACGAACGCAACGACACCACCGGACCATGGAAATGTAACAGACTATAGATACGAAAGACACCAACCAAACATAAGGCCTTTAAATCTGAGGAAAAGGATGAAAGGGGGAGAAAAAAAACGACGTCTTATTTGGTGCAAGTTTGGCAAAAAATACAGAAAAAAAAAAAAATCTAGAATAAATTATATGGAGCCACAAAAAGTTGTGACAAGGCAACAATAATGGAGTTTTCTTTTCATCAATGAGATGTGAGCGGTCGGGATGAACCAGTAGAACGCGTGCGCATGCATGCACACATCCCGGACCTCCCCCCATAGCCCACACACCCTAACGGACCGAACCGACAGGTCCACACAGACGCTGTGCAAAAAATGGGTGAGAAATACAGAACGCCACTGTGATTCATACGGATCGGAGGCCTTTCTACCCCTCAGGGAAAACCAGAGACTCTCATCCTTTTTAATGTACAGTACAGCCCATCTGGGTCCACGCCTTCGGCGCAACCGCTGGACAGAGATACATGGAGCACTTTAAAAAAAGACAGCAATGTACAGCCAACGATTTACAGATGAAATATTACAAGAGTCAGTTTTCTTCCTTCCTTCCATAAAATCAGAACAGAACCGGAGCTCCGGGTCAGAATTCCAGTCGTTTTGCACTTTTCCCAACGAGTTCAGGAGAAACACTCAAACGCAGCATCATGTAGCTGCTGTTTGCAGAGCAGAAAACATCCAACCACTGCCTCCTGCTGCCCCCTGGTGGCTGGACTCAGCTCCTGATTGGACTGGACCGCTTCAAGCCGGATCCAGAACAAATCCCCTTGATTGTTCTTTGCTTTTGGTGAAACGTGAAGCGGCAGGAGAGGGTTGGGCTCCGATCTGCCTTTCATGCACGTCAAGCCTGCATCAGGGAGATGCAGTCAGAACCGATCCGATTAGAACCTGGAAACGGGCTTTGGCTGCCAGGCCACCGGTCCCCTATAAAACGTAGTGGGAACCTCGCCGCCCATGTCTCCTGTTTTGGGTTTCAGCGCCAGCCGAATATGGGAGAGATGGCGGCTTTAGTATTACAGAGTCCGGAGGAGGCGACGGAGGGAGGTCAGGAGAGGCTCCGTCTCCCTCAGAACTCCGTTCCTCCTCCTGTTCTCAGACTGGATGCAGAATGGGGGGTGGGGGTGGGGTGATGAGAGTCTTTACATGGACGCTGACTGACAGACTCGGCACAGACTTTACACGCTGCTCAGCGGAGGAGGAGGAGGGAGGGGGGGCCTCCCCTCTCCTACGCCGTCTCTTGCTCCGGGTTCATCTCCTCTGATCCGTCCTCCTTCTCCCCCGCCGTATCTTTTTCACTGTGGTTATAAGAGTTTGGTTCGGGGGGTTCCGAAGAACCTGCCTCCTGGTTCTCCTCGCTTGTAGCTGCGCTCGGCTCTGAGGCTGAGGTAGAGGGGAGGAAGGCGTCGGCGGCCCTTGCCCCGCCGCTTTCACCAACTGTACTTTCTCTCTCCTCTGCGTCTCCCTCCCCCTCCTTCCCTTTCTCCCTCTCCCCTTCCTCCCGAACCCGGTTCCTCCTCCTCCTGGGACTGCCTGGAGAGCTGTCGGCTGCGGCGCCCGGCGGCACAGCGGGCAGCGTCATGATGCCGCCGTGAGGGAGGAACATGTGCGGGTACAGCAGCCCGTGGGACATGCCTGGGATCAGGAAGGGGTTAAAGGTGTGATGACTGCCGGCGGCGCCGCCCAGGTGGACCCTGCTGGTGGAGGTAACAGCGTCGCCCCCCGCCGGCCTCTCGGCACCCTCCGTCACCGCTTTTTCCTTGTCGCCACCCAGCGCCGAGGAAGAGCTGCTCTCTCCGTCTGCGGCGGTGCTGGAGGACGGGCTGGCCGCGTCGGAGGCCACGGTCGTCGTTGTTACGGAAGTGGAGGAGGAGGGGGAGGAAGCGGAGTGTGGTGGAGCGTGCGCCATCATGGTGCCAACGCTGAACAGAGCGTGCTGAGGGATGGCAGCGCCATGCGGGATGCCGTGCAGCATCATGGGTAACATGCTCAGACCGTTCTTCACGTCTTCGGCCGACGATCCGCCGCTTCCTGCTGACACGGCAGCAGGGAACCCGTGTGGGAACCCCGCCGCCATGATCCCGGAGATGGGGATGCCAGGTATGGCGCCGCGAAGGTTCTGCAGGGTCACAATGGAGTCCATGCTTCCAATCAGCCCGCCGTTCATGTAGAGGGGGGCGCTGAGGGTGGCGGACGAGGAATCCGACACAGAGAGGAGGGGCCTCGGCATCTCGCTGCGTGGCCGGCGCCCGCGGCGCCGCGAGCCTGGATCCCTGTTGACCGGTTCCGTCAGAATGCGAGAGAACTTCCCCTCAGGAAGGAAACCCTGGAGCAGCAGAGGAACAACATGAGAGGAGCCACAGTAACTGAGAGCTCTGGAAGCAAAGATGGAGACTCACAGAGTGTTTGACCACCTCGGCCCAGTCCGGCGCCACAAAGTACTCAGAGTTTGCATCGAGCCACCTGGACAGCTCCTTAATGGCCGGCGCCATGGCGCCACCAAGCTGCAGAAGGAGACAAACAGTTTTTTTTGCTGGCCAAATTGGGGCTTTAAAATGTCTAAAACATCTCAAAATTATTAGATTTAAAATTCCACCTGACATGTCTGACTCTGCCGGAGTAATGCAACTACACGGATTCATTTTTAGCCACACCCCCTAATTTGGCCACTTGTGGCTCTGTGCCAAAAATCACATTTCCGCCTAGAACACTGCTCACTTAAACCTTTGTGGAACCAACACGCTTCAGCTTATTCAGTACAAATTTGATCGACTTGTTGTCAAGATGTGGATCTATAAAGTCTGAGGTTCATCCAGATTTTCAAATGGGGTTCTTCAGTGTTAGAAAATATCGTCGAGGCTAAATATTTTTTAATTTTTTCTTTTTTTAATCACCTATAAATCAGAAATTGTAACAGTGGTGGAACTATGGGGCGGCTACTTGGGCTACAGCCCCGGATATTTCCCTAAGAGCCCCGGATCTCGCTTCTGAGCTGATCTGAGTAAAATGTGCAGTACTGGAATTCACCAGAGAGTGGCAGCATGCGCAGGAAAGCAGCCTGTAGCATTCCTATGCAGAAGGAGAAGTCACCGCTAGCTGTTGCTAAACAGACTGATTTCCCAGGTATGTGGAGCTCTGACTGACTTCCAGACGCTCCTTTTCCCGGTGTTCCCAATGGGAAATTCCATTGGGACCAAGTAGCACTAAATTGGTGACTAAGAAACCACACTGTCAAGGAACGCCATGGACAGAGGAAACATGCAAGAGGAGGAGAGTTTAGTGTCGGAGGTCGTGGATGAGTCTCCTCCGTCATCCATTTTTTATTTAGAGGAGGAAAGCGGGGATGAAGATGTCGTGGAAGAGGACGCCAGGGCGGCAGAAGCTTGGTTTGGTGTAGAAGGCTTCCAGCCGTACATGATTGAGCCCTTGCCTCGCAACGCTGCCAGTTCTGTTAGCTCTACGCCTGCTGAAGACACAGACGTCCATCCCCGTGAACACTGGGACGGAGCTCAATGGGAAAGGAAATGATTCTTATTTCAACCGTTGCGTATATTACTGCGACAAGATGCTATGATCGAAAAAATTTGATTGACAGATGACCGTTGATATATGATTGGCTGAATTTAGGTGTTCAGGCTGACAGATAACTAACTGACCTGATTAAGATAACGACAGTATTTCGACTTTAAGGGGTTAATTTTGGATGAACCGGTGTTCTGTCAGTTGAGTATACCCGGTCAGACCGGCATACCCAGTCAATACCTGTTTATCCCTTTAGTCATGTACAAAATTAAACTAATTAAACTAAATTAATTACTTTAACTTTTGGTGTTTTTTGAAGCGTATGGTGATCTGACCTTAAATTTCTACAAGACTAAATGGATACACGCCCATCGAGGTAGTTTAAAGTATTTTTCGTAAAAAACTGAAGGGATAAATGCAAATCTGAAGTCTTGACCATGTGTATTAACTATATATTAACAGCAGCTCTCCATAGATCTTAGAGGGTTTAGAAAGCCGAGCTAAAGATAGAGTTTAGCTTCTCTCAATCAACCCAAGTTGATGCTAGTTTTGTTGTTTTACTGTTTTTAAATAGTTTTACAGTTTCTATCCGTTCAGCACCTTGTTTGAAGCGCTTCATAAATAAATGGCTTATTAATAAAAGACATGAGAGTGTGCTCTTGGCGTGCTGATGGCGGTGCCTACCCTACGCCCCGTGCCGCGGTGGACCACGGGGACCCTCTCCTCCCCCGTCAGGGTGTTGATGTCCAGCTTGGTGGGGTCTTTGCAGCGATGTCGCCTCTGTTTGGGACGCTCCACGAAGCCTTGCAGAAGACTCGCTCCAGACTGAACGAGACAAAATCACAGAAACGTAAAGATTCAGACCGATAAAAAAAAAACATTTTTCTCCATTTTCAGATCTGTGGTGAAAGTGATGGAGGCGAAGAGCTGAAGGAACAGAAAGACGTACGTGAGCGAAGGCTGGAAGATCCATGCTGTAGCCCGGATTCTGACGCAGCCACTCCATCAGGCCCTTACTGGCCGCCTCCCTGTCGATGGCCGCCAATTCTGGCTGGGAGGGGGTGTGGGTAGGGGTTGGGGTAGAGGAGGGGGTGGGGGGGCCGGCGGGCCGCTCTGATGGAGACGGCGACGGCGAGGAGGTGGAGGAGGAGACGGAGGAGTGGCTGATGGCCTCCACCCGAGCCTGCAGACGGAGACATAGTTAGAGGAATGTTCCTGCTCGCCCCCCTCCCTCCTTCCCTCCGGCTGAACGTTTCGCTGATCCCTCCCCCCTCCACCAACCTGGGTCTCGGGGAGCTGCAGCCCTCGGCTCTTGGCGAACTCGGAGTACAGAGCCTCCACGTTCCTCCTCCTCCCTCTCCTCCTCCTCAGCGAATCGTCTCCCCTCAGGCTCCCGTTGACTATCTGCCCCGTGACCGGGTGGATGAGTCCTGCCTGCAGGATCCCGGACATGTCGATCCCCACGGGGCCGGGCAGAGGGGCGGTGATGGGGGGCAGCTTGTGACCGCTTCCTGCCGCGGCGTTATGGTGGCCGACTTCGTTGGTAGGGGCGCCGACCTCTCCAGAGTGCTTGGTCAGATCGATGGCCGCTTCCTGCCACCCGTTTAGCATGGCGCCGGTCCGATGGGAGGCGGGAGCCACCACCGGCACCTTCTCTTCCCCGGAGCTGCCGCTGTGGCTCGGCGACGCAGATTTCCCCGCCAGAATCTTGGCGGCCGCGGCGGCGGCGGCTTCATAGTCGAAAGACCTGCGGCCTCCTGCTCGCTTGAGCTCGGGGAGGAACGGAGGAGCAACCAGCCTCTCCTGCAAGAGAGGCAAGGAGGTGAGGCGCCAAGCTCCGCGCCCGCATGCGCCGCCCCTCGGCACGTACTGTCAGGGTCGACAGGGTGGGCGAGACAGGGATGGGAGAGAGACGATGGCTTTGGTTAAACACACATACGGACCGAGACACAAAGAGGGGCTGATGCCGGGGATCCAGACCGGCTGCAGGGCTGGACTTCACATACAGCCTAAAGCAGACCATAACCAGAGGTTACCAGATTCTATCAGGGGTTACCAGAGGTCGCTCTGTCCAATCAGGGCAGAAGAGACAACAATAACTGATGAAGGTCCAAACTGATTCAAATCACTTCAGTTTTTATCAAAATCACTGGATTATTTAGTTACTTTGACTTTTTTTTCTCCATAGCCTGATCTACTTAGAAGAACATAAAATGATGATAAATAACAGGAGGAAGAATCAGAGGAACTAAAACCCAGAAAAGCCCAACCTAACCTCACTTTGTTCACATACAGTAGCAGCCATTCATGATGGCCCTTCCCACTTCCCTCCAACTTCCCTCCAAATCTCCTCTTGCATATTTTTATTTTTCACTGACTCCACCCTTTTACTGAATTTCATCATTCTCTTTCCTCCCACTCTCAATCTCTAATGTTCTGCTCTCTTTGCTTTTTTCTCATAGTAACTTCATCTGGTCTGTTCCTGTTTGGCTGTGACTCCATCCTGGAGAGAAATATCAGCTGTGCTGCTGCCATCAACACCTTTGTATTTAGATGTTGGAGATCGGCCTGTTTTCCAGTGTAGTCCTGTTTCTCTGACTGTGACTAACTGGATGTGCTCTCTTCATCCTCTGACATGTGAAGGACCGCTGGCTCTGATGGTGATTTGTGTTTATTTGACTGTGTTAATTATTATTTCCCGATTAAATGAAAAAAGTAAGAATTTATTATCATCCAGAGAATATTAATAACAGGAGGTGAAATGCAGCTCCAGACGAGCCAAGCGTGTGGTGATGTCATCAGTGCGCTTCTGTTCAAATTAACCCAGATTTATGCTGCGTGCTCCCGTTTCCCAGAGTCAACACTTTCCTGTGTTCCTCTCAAGAACATACTTGGCGAGGAAACTAGTTCTATTTCATCCCTACTGACCGCCAGAGGGCGGTGCTGAAAGCACTGAATGTTCCCTTCGGGCATGCGCAGTTCGAGTAATTATACCAACAGAGTCACACCTGTGACTCACTCAGAAGCTATATAGCCTTGTGTCATCCTTTGCTCTGCTCCTTTTTTCTTCTCGCAAGCGGTTCGCTAACTTCCCCGTTGTCTGAAGCCCGTCTCTTGACCGGAGTTGCGCTTATTCTCCGCCCTCCCAGGGCTGCAACGGGTCGATTCTGAGGATTACGGAAGGTAAGTGAGTTGTTTGCTGGTGATGGTAGCGTCCGCGCCCCCTCTCCCGGCTCACGACTTTAGCTTTTTACCTACAGCTTCGTGCTGTTTTGTTTCGAACTGGTGACGGCAGCGTTTTCGCCCCTACTCCCAGTGTGAATAACTTCACTGCCGAAGTTATATACGGCTAACGTAGTTGGCTTCTTTAGTTTGTTGGCGTTATACCTGGTGACGGCAGCGGTTTTCGCCCCCTCTCCCAGTATATTCCCTACTTTTGCATCCTTTTTTCCTCTCCCAACCAAGTGTGGTCTACTTCGTTTGCCGAAGTTGGAGACGGCTAACGTTGTTAGCCTTTTTTGGTTTGTTTGCAGCCTTCTTCATCGGTCTGCTTAGTTATAAATGGTGACGGCAGCGTTTTCGCCCCCTCTCCCAATATCAACCTTTTTTGCAGCCTTTTCGTTGGTCTGCTCTCTTAATTGGTGACGGCAGCGTTGTTCGCTCCTACTCCCAACTTAAGTTGTCCATACAGCTAACGTTGTTAGCTTTTTTGGTTTATTGGTTTTATACCTGGTGACGGTAGCGGTTCTCGCCCCCTCTCCCAGTATCGGCTGCCTTGTGTCCGCAGCCTCTCGTTTTATCCGCTATAATTGGTGACGGCAGCGTTGTTCGCTCCTACTCCCAACTTAAGTTTCCATACAGCTAACGTTGTTAGCTTTTTTGGTTTATTGGTTTTATACCTGGTGATGGTAGCGGTTCTCGCCCCCTCTCCCAGTATCGGCTGCCTTGTGCTCGCAGCCTCTTTTGTTTTCACTGCTGTAATTGGTGACGGCTGCGTTTGCGCCCCCTCTCCCGATTTTCGATAACTTTCTGTTCTTTAAGCCTTGTCGGCCTTCGACATGGATGGCTCTCACAGCTGCATGGATTGTGGGGCTGCCCTGCAGGCAGAGGATGGCCACGACCTGTGCCCTACCTGCCTTGGACATGAGCACCTTTTGGAGGCGCTGTCTGAGAACCCCTGTATGAACTGCAGCTTTATGCCCCATGCAGTGAGGGTGGGCCGGTTGGCCCAGTTGTGCCCCCAGGAGGGCTCGGACCTTCCGCCCTCTGGGCAGGTGGTTCCCCCCAAGCGTTCTAAGCGCCGTGGTGGGACCACAGCATCTGTGCCCCTCCCCCGGAGGAAGCGGGCCAAACCTGACCAGGGCCTGTCCACAAGGGTGGAGCAGTTGTTAGCAGAGCTGGCAGAGATGAAGTCCTTGTTGCAGACACGGCAATCTGATCCCTCGCTCCGAGTGGTTGGGCTCTCTTCCCCACCAATGCCCGAGCTGGTTGTAGAGGATGACGTTATCTCTCTGGCTGCTTCCGCTTCTCATTTTAGAGATGAGGAGGAGGCAGGGTCCTCTCAAGCCTCTGAGGCTGGTTCATTTTCATCTCAGAGTGCGGTTGGAGAGGCCGGTGACGGTTCCATGCGGGAGGTCATGTCTATGGCCCTGAAGCAGCTGCAGCTGGAACTCCCACGAGGAGAGGCATCCAGCTCTGGCAGTGCTTTTTTCAGACGTGGAAGGGCGCCTACTCCTTTTTCTGTACCTCCATCAGAGGAGTACCTGAAGGAGGAGAGACGCTGTCGCGTCTCTCCTCGGATGGTCGTGTATTAGCTGCCATGCATGAGTCAGTGAAGGCCGGCCTGGACCGTATGCCAGCAATTGAACCAGCTGTTGCTTCACTGATTGTGTCACCAGATGAAGCCCTGCGTCCTGATGTCCGGTGCCCGCGGACTCAATGTCGGGTTACAGATGACCTCCTCTGTAAGGCGTACAATGCAGGAGCGCGTGCTGGCCGCCTTGGCAATTCCCTGGCGCACCTCATGTTTGCCCTGTCTGCATCTGTTCAGGACACTGGTGGTGCAAGTGCGGCGATTGGTTATAGTGACGCAGCGCTGCAGGCCTTCGCGCTGATGACCAGAGAGCTTGGACGGGTCATGTCTTTCCTTGTCCAAGCTCGTAGACAGGTCTGGTTGGCACAATCTCCTCTGACTGAAGCATGCCGTAGGACCCTCAGGGGTGTCCCGGTTGTACCAGGGGAGCTGTTTGGATCAGCTGCCTTGGAGGCGCTGGAACGGACTGCTCAGGCACGTCAGACTAGCCAGCAGCTTTCTGGCCTTCGCAGGAGCATACCTGCCTTTCCCCAGCGTTCGGGCCGCCCTGCCACTACCCCCAGCGTTCAGCCACGACCTCAGACTGGTGGCAGACCTGTTGGTTCCTATCCCCATGATGTGCGGCAGAGACCGAGGAGGGACTTTCGTGAGCCAGTCTGCCGCCCTGTTAGACAGACCCGGGCCTCAAATCCTGGACGCCCTCCCCCCAGAGCCCCCAGGGGCCGTGGGGATAGAAGATGATGCCGCCGGGCCAGCCGTCGGACATTTTTCCCATCAGCAGCTGAATTTCTGGGCTGCTCATGCCGTAGATCCATGGGTGGTTGCCACCTTAACCAATGGCTACAGGCTCCAGTTCCGACGGCGGCCCCCCCTCTCACACCGGGTCAAGATGACTGTCATCACAGACCCGGTGAAATCTCAGGGACTAGACCAGGAGCTTCCGCCCTCCTGGGCAAGGGGGCAATCGAGTCTGTAGATCCTCTGTGGCAACCCAGAGGCTACTACTCCACATACTTCCTTGTGGCCAAGAAGACCGGCGGTTTTCGCCCCATTTTAGATCTAAGGGGACTGAATCGGTACCTGAAGGTCCTTCCCTTCCACATGCTCACCATAACAGAGGTCCTTCAGACCATTGTGGCGGGAGATTGGTTTACATCAGTAGATCTGACAGATGCCTACTTTCACGTGCCTATTGCGGCAGAACATCGCCGTTTTCTCAGGTTTGCCTATCGGGGGCGCCATTGGCAATTCCGGGTGCTCCCATTCGGGCTCTCCCTTTCCCCGAGGGTGTTTACTCGATGCGTGAAAGCAGCCCTCTCTCCTCTACAGGCCTCCGGAGTCAGGATTCTGCCATACCTGGACGATTGGCTTCTTTGTGCTCCCTCTCAGGTAGCTGCCTCTCGGGATACGTCCCAGCTTCTACTTCATGTGTCACTATTAGGCCTCAAAGTCAACTTGGCAAAGAGTTGTCTTGTTCCATCTCAGACAACCACCTTTCTTGGGATGCATCTGGACTCTGCTACCATGATGGCCCGTCCATCTGTTCACAGGGTGGACGACATATTCCAGCTTGTCCGTCGATTCAGACTGGGCAGGGAGTTTCCCTACATCATCTTCCTGCGAATGCTGGGCAAACTGACATCAGTCACTCGTGTCGTGCCCTTAGGGCTGCTCCTTCTGCGTCCTTTGCAGCGATGGCTCAACAGCTTTCGCCTAGACGCCAGGCTGCACAGGCATCGCAGGCTAATGGTGACCAGGAGCTGCCTCCATGCCCTACCTCCTTGGCGAGACGGGACCCTTTTGTCCAGTGGTGTTCCAATGGGGCTAGTAGTGTGTCGAAGGGAGGTGGTCACCACGGATGCCAGCCTCATGGGCTGGGGTGCCGTGTGGCAACACAGAGCTATTCGGGGTCTCTGGGACCCAAGGGAGCGCACCGAACACATAAATGTGCTGGAGCTGCGGGCTGTGCACATGGCCCTCAGGTGCCTTCTGCCCCACCTAGAGGGAAGGCACGTGCTGATTCGGACAGACAACACCTCTGTTGTTTATCATATAAACCACCAAGGTGGCACCAGGTCAGCACGTCTCTTGAAGGTGTCGAGGGATCTCCTGGAATGGGCGTTTCCCCGTCTGTGTACCCTGCGCGCAGCGTATCTGCCAGGACGGCAGAACCAGGTTGCGGACTCTCTATCCCGCCAGGCACCTGCTCCGGGAGAGTGGTCTCTTCACCGCGACGTAGTGCGCATAATCTGGAACCTCTTTGGGCAGGCAGAGGTAGATCTGTTCGCCACAGAGGAGTCGACCCATTGCCCACTATGGTATTCCCTAACCGGGATGGCGGGCGCACTGGGCCAGGATGCACTGGCTCATCCATGGCCGCAGGTTCTCCTGTATGCCTTTCCACCCCTCTCACTGATTTGGCCGACTCTACGGAGGGTTCTCGAGCAGGGCCACAGAGTGTTGCTGGTAGCTCCGTTCTGGCCAGCGCGGCCGTGGTTCCCGCTGCTTTGGAGTCTGTGTCACGGTACTCCATGGCGTCTTCCAGCAAGGAGGGATCTGCTGTCTCAGTTGGGGGGACAGATATGGCACCCCAACCCTCAATGTCTCCAGCTGTGGGCATGGCCCTTGGGAGGCTGACTGGGTGTTCAGACACCGTGAGACACACCGTATTGAGTGCTAGGGCTTCCTCCACTCGGCTGCATGATGCTAACAGATGGTGCCTCTTTTCTCAGTGGTGCTCTGCCCACAATGAGAACCCAGTTTCCTGCTCGGTGCCCACTATTTTGGAGTTCCTCCAGTCTCTCCTTGATAAGGGCCGCTCTCCTTCGACCCTTAAAGTGTATGTTGCAGCAATTTCATGTCTTCACCGAACTGTTGACAACCGTACAGTGGGGCGCCATGAACTGGTTTCACTTTTTCTGCGTGGTGCTCGTAGGTTGTGCCAGCGGCCAGCCCCACGAGCCCAAGATTGGGATCTGCCGTTCTCACAGCTCTGTGCCACCCTCCATTCGAGCCTTTGGCACAGGCAGAACTCAAGTGGCTTTCCTGCAAGACTGCTTTCCTGATGGCTATCGTCTCAGCTAAGAGGGTCAGCGAGCTGCATGCTCTTTCTGTCAGCCCTAGGTGTATCAGGTGGAATCCAGATGGCTCTGGTGTTACCCTGTGGCCTAATACTGCGTTTGTGCCTAAGGTGTTCTCTCCTTTTCACCGTAACCGGCCATTGCGGCTGGCTCGGTTTCAGCCTAAATCTGGTACAACTGAGAATGAGTCTGAGTTGTTGTGCCCAGTAAGAGCGTTGGAGGCATACATTGCAGCCACCGCCAATCTGAGACGCTCGGACCAGCTTTTCCTATGCTATGGGGGTCCAAGGTTAGGCTGTCCTCTTTCTAAACAGCGTCTGTCCCATTGGATTGTGAGTGTCATCTGCCACGCCTACGCTGCAGGTCACTGCTCCCTGCCAGTCGGTGTGAGAGCACATTCCACCAGGAGCGTCACCGGTTCCTGGGCTGCTTTGAGAGGGGTTCCGCTGGAAGCTATATGTGCTGCTGCTTCATGGGCTTCCCCAACCACCTTCACCAGGTTCTACAGTGTCAATGTGGCTGCCCCTCATCCCCTGGGTCAGGTCCTTTTACAAGGTTCTGCTGGGCCTCCTCTGTGAGGTATGTGCTCAGGATTCCTTGTGACATCGTTGGCATTAGTCATTCAGTGCTTTCAGCACCGCCCTCTGGCGGTCAGTAGGGATGAAATAGAACGAAAGTTACGTATGTAACTACGGTTCTATGAATCCCGGATGACCGCCAGAGCTTCTCTGTCACTCAGAATCCTTGCTTTTGCGAGAAGATTCTGTAGGAGCAGAGCAAAGGATGACACCAGGCTATATAGCTTCTGAGTGGTCATCCGGTGTCACAGGTGTGACTCTGTTGGTATAATTACTCGAACTGCGCATGCCCGAAGGGAACATTCAGTGCTTTCAGCACCGCCCTCTGGCGGTCATCCGGGATTCATAGAACCGTAGTTACATACGTAACTTTCGTTTTTTATTCTTGAGAATTGAGAAACGGGTTAGGTTTAAATAAAACCAGGAATAAGTTGACTTTTTTAGAGAGGAGCAGCCAATCAGAGGTCAGGGTTTCTATGGAAACAGCTCTAGTCCTGCCCTCTGAGTTTAATAGATGAAGTTGACAGTTCAATGTTTCCTGATGAGTCTGCAGAGCAGACACCTGAAAAAAAAAATACAGATTGAAGTAATAAAAAGTTTATTTCTTTAGAAAAATTACTATTATCATTTAATATCATAATTTAAAACCTGTATTGAATTATTTAGCTGCATCAGCTGCTGTTATTCAGTATTTTCTGTTATTGTGGACCTCTGGTTCTGAGCGTTCAGAGCTGAAATCTGGTGGTTTTTCTCTTCAGCACATCTGGGACACAAATAAAAAACTGGACACAGCTGGTGGGAACCATGGTATGAGAGACAGATACACACAGACGGGCAGAAAGAAGAAGAAGAAATCAGTTTGTACCTTGGGTAGTCTGGTGAGAGGCGGAGGGACGGGGAAGCCCAGCCCCGGTCCGCCCTGCTGGACCCGAGCCTGGCCCGCCAGGTAACCAGTTCGCTGATGGTGGTGCTGGGCTAAGCTGTTAGCCAGGCAGGAGTTAGCTGGGGAGTCGTACTGCTCACTGGATGAAGGCCACTTCCCCTTCAGGATGGCGTGGCAGATGCTGTCCAGGCGGTTGATGATGACTCTGTCCTACGGGGGGGAGGGAGACAAGCAAAGGGTTAAACTCATCTGAGTGACGTTGCCTCCACCTTCTTCAAAGCTACAAATCCGTTTGGATGACAATATTTTCTGCAGAAATGTTTTGACTCCACTTCCTGAACTAAACCATGGAGAATGTTGGTGAAGATTCTCAGTCATCCAGGTCATAGTCGTTCCAAAAAGAGTCTGGCTTTTCCACTTTAAAAGTACTGAAAACTAAACACAGATCAGGTTTGAATGTGGAGAATGACATGCGTGTTTCTCTGACAGACAACAAGCCCAGACTGGACAAACTGTAGAATCCATCAGGCCCACTGCTCCCATTAGCATGGAATGTCTATGTATCTCTCATGTAGCCTACATTTGTTGTTAGGCCTGCATTATATACAATGTCTGCATGTTTAATTTGGGACAAACTTAAGATTAATTTTAAATAAAGTTCTTTCTCTTTAAAATCTTCGAACCATCAAAATGACGGCCTTGGTAGTTCTAGTGTTAAAGTCGTAGAGAAGCAGCTTTTCCAACCGTCGCATTTCCGAATTCTCCCGAGTTGTGCCGACTTTACACGGGTGAATAACATCAATGTGCCGTCCATGTTTGAGCCCTTGCCTCGCAACGCTGCCAGTTCTGTTAGCTCTACGCCTGCTGAAGACACAGACGTCCATCCCCATGAACACTGGGACGGAACTCAATGTGAAAGGAAATTATGCTTATTTCTTATTTCAACCGTTGCGTATATTAGCTGCAACATATGAATCAAGATGACCGAAAAAAAATTTATTGACAGATGACCGTTGATATATGATTGGCCGAATTTAGGTGTTCAGGCTGACGTAGAACTAACTGGCCCGCATAAGATAGAGTACATTTATAAACATGTTTAAGGCAGAATGATTTGACATTTAAATATGATTTCCCTACGACTTTAATGACCCCCCGTTAAGACACTTAGAAAGGTATGGGGCGTTGCAGGCTAACAAAAGAAGCCAAACGACCCCCATTCCAAATGGATGGACCCGTTTGTACGTTTTTTTTGTGTGCATGTTTTCAAAACAAAAACAAGGCTTTGATGAGCTACTGTATAAAACCTCGAACTCCATTCTATTTCTGACATTTTTAATTGAAGAAGCTGGAAAAATGGGATGCGAAACTTCTTCAGACTTGGGGGGGAAAAAAAGTCCAATTGTTTGTTTTTAACTTTTTTTGGAACCCGGGGAGAAGGACATGGTACCTTTGGCCATTCGGAGAAGGAGTACAGAGCTTTCTCTTGCAGCAGCTGGGCGATGGTGGGCTCCCTGCTCTCATGCAGGCTGTCGGGAAGATCGCACATGGAGGTGGGAGTTGCAAACCTGGGACTGCCGGGATATCCCTCCACCACAGGCAGCGCTGCGGAGCACAGCAGAAATATACGCATCCAGCCATCTGCTTCTCTGTGAAAATGTGCGATCAAAAAGAGCGCAACCCTACCTGGGCTGCCTGGCCTCTCCTCCTTCACCGGGCCTTTCAGCAGACCCTCCCCTGTGGTGCCCGAGCCGTCGGCCTGCTCCGGCTTCGGCGTCAGGACAGTGCTGTCGGCCTCCAGCGTCTCCCGTTTCATCTCGGCCTTCACCTCAGGCTGGTCTGGGCAGGACTCCTGCTTGACCTCGGCTTTGATCCCGGAGCCGTTCGGGTACGCTGGAAATTGCAAAACGTCTGGTTTCGCTTCCGGTTTGATCTCGGTCTTAAACCCTCCTCCGTCTGAATAGATGGCGAAGCGGAGATCCGATGGTTTGACTTCGGGTTTCGTTTTTCCGCTCTGTGAGTAAGCCACAAAGTGGAGAGATTCAGGCTTAACGTGGAAGGTCTCCGTCTTCATGGACATGATGAGATCCTCCGGTTTCACCTCCAGCACCGGAGCCCTGGCAGGAAACGCCATCGGCTCAGATTTGGGCTCTGCAGCCTCAGATTTTACAGGGAAGGAGAGAAAAGGAGAAGGTTTAATGTCTGAGCCGTCCAGGCAGACCTCCTCGGCCGGCTCCTCCACCTTCACCGGTACCAGGAACTGCAGCGGTTTCTTCTCCTCACTGACTGCTGTCAGAGCCGATGACTTGGAGTTGACATTGTTTACATTTAACGTCAAATTAGTTTTGGCTTCATTGGGGTCACGTTTATTTTCTGGATCTGCAGAGGAGGACGAAGCTTCGCTCCTGCAGTTCTTGCTGCTCAGGTTCCGATCCGCTGGGTCTCGGGTCTGGGATTCCTCCAAGGCAGACCCAGCGGGGCTGCAGGGTTCTGCTAACTCGGCCTCTCCCAGCTCCGCCAGGCTGGCTTCAGCCTCCTGGGTCACCATCTTCTCTGCCGGTTCCTCTGCAGTGTCTCCCAAAGAGACAGAGTCCAGCCGACCTTCAGGGATCTCTGCCGCCCCCTCAGAACCCTCCCTGCTGCCAACATCAAAACCTCCTCCAGAACTCTGTGAGTTTTCCTTCATTTCTAAAAATGCTCCCGTTTCATTACGGATAAAAGCTTCGGCATCCAGAGAGCTGTCCATGGACTGCTCCTCCTCAGTCTGATACAGAATCAACCCGTGCACCTCCTCCGCAGGATCCTCAATGGACCGGGGACAAACCAAGCCACCTTCTGCTTCCAGCTTCCCCAGGTAAGGCTGCACCTCTTCATTATCATCCGAGGACTCCAAGTTCTCCTGGAGGCCCGCCAGCGCTTCTCCATCCTCCATCTGACGCTCAGAGGTCGGATTCAGGACGCCGACTCCGGGGTCGGGACCTTGAAGCAAAAAAAACATCAGAGATCCATTTAATACTGAATCAATTTGAAAGTAACAGCATTTAAACTTTAATAAGTAATAGACTTTTGGTAGAAACATGTACAAAAAAACATTTTCTGTCCAAAAATAGGTAAAAAATAAACAATTTATAACTTTTTCTGAAATGTTAGCTCGATCAGACTGGAATACAGTAATATCCATTCAATATTTCCCCACTTTCCTTGCTCCTCTACAATTCCTTTTTTAAACATTTGTCCTTGTACTAAAAATTCTGGTAATGAACCTGTTAAGTTAAACCTTATATTCTGCTAATTTTTCACACTTAGAGTTTATTTTCTATGAATAGTAGCTGAGCCTTCAGCCCGCTAACTCCGATGAGCTCTTTTCTCTTTCTCTCTCGGAGGCTAAAATGCTTTCTAAACTAGGGTGACAAGGCGTCCCAGATTTCCGCGGACAGCCCCCGTTTTCAACCACCTGTCCCCGGAAATGTCCCCGATTTTACCGTTTTATGAATGAGGGGGAAAATGTTATCATGGTAGAAAGGGCGTGCGAGCATGCTGTGCAGACACAGCTGTTTAACGTATGGATGAGGAGCAGAGTGCACCAGTTTTAAAACAGACGAGGAAGTTCGTTATCACAGCCGGCCGGACGCAGCTACTCTGTTACCCCAAAATCCCACATCCTCCGCCGCCGCTCTGCTACAGGCCTCCTGCGCAAAGCAAAGCCTACAGCTTCGCTGTTCTTCCCTTTTTGCTCCGTTCCGACTTCCTCTGAGCTTGAGGAGAGCTCCCCATCATCATCCAGCATATGTGCAACTTCTGCCAAAATGTTTTCTTTTTGTTGTGGATTTCTGTAACAGGGATAACTAGGATCATATAATCTTCACATTTACATCCAATCAAAAATAATAACAGCTTATTTAAAACAAAAAGCAGAGCTGTATCTATGAATAGAAAATAGGATTGTGAAAATAAACTCCAGTTAGGTTTCACTATGATTCTGTTAAAGGACACATTTTTATCCTGGCCCTGAGGGCTTATTTTTCCTTCATCTATACGTGTAATGACAAAACATGTATTTTTGGTGTTTTAATTGTTGTAATTTGCAACAATTGGAGGGAGCAGCACTGCACTGCCGCTTCGCTGGCTGCTGAAAGCACTAATGGACCAGCCCGTACAGATACATGTCGTTTCTCAATTCACTAGAACGCGGGTACGGACTTGTGTCCTCGCCAAGTCTGTTCTTGACAGTAACATAGTAAAGTGTGGACTCAGGGAGAACGGGAGCACGCAGCATAAATATGGGTCAACTGGAACAGAAGTGTATTGATGACATCACCACACGCTCAGCTCGTCTGGAGCTGCATTTAACCTCCTGTTATTAATAGTCTCTAGATAATAATAAATTCCTTTTTTTCATTTGTTGGGGGAATAATAATGAACACAGTCAGATAAACACAAATCAAATGAACATTTTGCCAAATAAAACAAAAGACTCGCCATCATATCCAGCAGTCCTTCACACACGGCTATGCAGAGAGAGCGCTGCTGCAGACGGGCTAACGTTAGCCCTGGCTGCCATTAGCCTTGGAGGTCCGCTGGTTGCTGCGGGCCTCCCAACATCAGAATTTTTTTTTTGATATTACACATTAAATCAGTTTTTGGGCCATATAGTGACGGTTAAAGGTATAATGTTTTCTCCTCAAAAAGTACTTTTATAGAACCATTGCAACAGAAAAGAGAAAATTTAACTTAATACTCTGAGCTCTGTGAGCGCTAAACTTGGAAGCTGCTGCTGCCGCAGTGCATGCTGGGACAGCTGTCAATCTCAAAAACTGACAAGTCTGCCCTGATGCATGCTGGGTAAAGAGGGAGGGGCGAGAACAATATTTATATAGGGCAATAAACATCTTAAAGTATCAGAAATATAAAATCCCAGCAGGCTGGGAATTGAAAAGAACATAAAATCACAACACTAGTTTAGGTCAATGAATAATAATAGATGATTGTCATTCTAAATTAACAGCTAACATTTAAATAAATGGTTAAATAAACCCTAAACCCCCAACAGAGGGATTGGCGGCCTAGTGGTTAGGGCATAGAGCTTGGAATCCTGAGGTTGTGATTTCGAAACCCACTCCAACAGACTGCCACTCTGGGTCCCTGGGCAAGACCCCTAACCGCCGGGCGCCCCACAATGGCAGCCCACTGCTTCCCAAGTGGATGGGTTATATGCAGAGATAATGGGCGTCCTTCGGTAGCACAGTGGTTAGCGCACATGACCCATGTACGGAGCCCTTAGTCCTCGACGCGCCCGACCCAGGTTTGAATCCGACCTGTGGACCTTTGCAGCATGTCTCTACCACATGTCGCGTGTGTCTTGGATTCATTCAAATGAAAGCAATAATGGCTGGAAGAGCGTCAGCAGAGACCAAGAGATCAATATTTCTGCCTCCACGTACCTTCGTTCTGGTTTTCTGCTTCTTGCTCCCTTAATTTCTCTGCCTCCTCTTCCTCTTTGTCTTCAAACTCAAACCCGGTACTTCCCTCCTGGTCGTCTCCCTCCTCCTCGGGATTGGCCAAGCTCTCTGGGACGTCAGCATGTCCAAGAGCGTCCTGAGGCTCATGGCTGAACGACAGGGGTGGAGGGGGGACAAAGGGGAGGGGCGGGCTTGCTGATAGGTCTGTTTGATCTGGACTGGCCTCTTCGTTCACTCCGATATCCTAAATAATGGCAAATAGAGACGTCTGGATTACTTTAATATAGAAATGATTCCCTCAGTTGTCAGTATACCCTTTTCTGACCATCTAGGGAAGAAGGTTGATGACTGGTGAAGTAGAAACCCACCTTAAAGAGCATGTAGCTCGATGATAGCGGCTCGACTGCTTCCCCGGTGGAAGGATGAGATGGAGAGGATGAAGGCGGGAGGCCTAAACACTCCTCCAGAGTCCCACCCTCTTCTCCTCCTCTGTCTCCTCCCTGCGCCTCCTCATCCTCCTCCTCCAGGAAACCCGTCTCCAAGCCAGAGGGACCGAGGATGGGATCGGACTCGTTGAACATGTGTTCAGCTGGACTGGTGTGATCTGTGCTGTCCCAAGGAGCCTGCAGGAAAACAGGTCGATAGTTAATATGTTAATGCTTTTTCTCTTTTTACCTGTAGCACTTTGAGATATTTGGATGGAAAGTGCAGTATAAATTAATTGTATTATTATCATTATGATTATTATTGTAAAACGGCATAACGGCGTCCAGATATTCTGCAACATGTGAACAAGGACCAACTCTAGTGCGGTTACTAAACTGCTGGTTCTGTCGGAAAACTGGAATCTAAAAGAAAAAAAAATTCAGACTTTTCTCTGCTGATCCCATATATTATATTTTAAAGCTAATTTCCAGTGTTCCATGTTTAGGCTGATTTCTAGCACCAGCTTTGCGGCCTCATACCTGTAATTGATCCAGCTCCACTGACGGCGCCATCAGCCCGGTTTCCTCCGATGAGCCCTGCTCACCAACCAGGACGTCGCTCCTCAGCTTGGAGTCCAGGTCGGCCCCGCCCACTCCGTACGAGTTGAGCATGCTTTGACCCCCCGTTGCGGAGTTAAAGGGGAACCCGTTCAGGGCGTCTTTGGGAATCTTCCCTCCGTGCAGGCCGTCGGCAGACATGCCGTCGTGTTGCAGAGCTCCCAGCTCCAGGCTCTCATCCAGCGGAGCGCAGTCCAGGAAGTCCACCCGCGAGCCGGGAACCAGGCCCAGGTTGGGAGAAACGGAATCCGGGGGGTCCAGGGTAGGAGGGTGGAGGTGAGGGTGCGAAGAAGAGGATGAGGATGAGGAAGGAGAGGGCGCGGGTGCAGGTGGAGGCTGCTGGTGGGGGTATTCTGGAGGCTGAGGGGAGTGATGGCCGAGCCCCGCCTCGTAGAGGCAGCAATGAGGCAGCGGCCCGTGGGACGAAGAGGAGGAAGACATGGCCAGGCCTGCATGGTGCGGGTGATGAAGATGAGCAGGGTGCCGCCTGACGTAATTCCTGTGAGCCTCCAGGAAACTGAGCTGAGGATCGTTGAGGATGTAGAAGTCGGTGCGGCTCAGGCCGTGGCGGGCCGCCCCGATCAGCAGGTCCCGGTCGTGTTTACCGCTCTCCCACCAGACGGGGAGGTAGAGGGAGGGGCGGCAGAGCTGGAGGCGGGCCGAGAGTAGCGGGTGACGGAGAACCTGTGGGAGGATGATGGAGCGTTTGTTCTGATATCCACATCAGGTCTGAACTCAGGGTTCTATAAAAAGGTTCTGACCTGCTCTCTGATCTTTCGCAGCAGCTCGATGCGATACAGCGTCCTGGCGGCTCGCTCCTCGGTCAGAGGCTCCACCAGAAGGCCGTGATCCACCAGCCCTGGAAACAACAAAACACAGCCGACTTTATTCCACGCCACCACGCAACAGAATCACCAACTAGCTGTGGGTCTAGATACGGCGGAAGTGGTGAGGAAGTGGGGGCAAGTTTGTGTGACAACGGTGGGACATGAGGGCCAAAAAGAGCGGGGATCCAGGTGGAAAAAGGGTCCCAGCGTTCTCGTGCACCTCTCTATTCTAGCTGGTCCAACTTCACGAGTCATTTTCCACAATCGTGGTCATACAAACAAAACAAGCCGGCAACATACCAGACAGGAAATACCCATAGTGTGGAGCGGATGTCGATTTGACCAATCAGAGGCCTCCTGTCTGCGGTCACCTATAAATTTTGGAGAGGTGCACCAGAGTGTCTGCGAAGGGGAGGGGATGTCTTTGCGTTCACTGCGACACACGCAGACTACCTAGTTTTAAAGTATAAATCAGCCTTTAGGAAAAGGCTAAATCCACCAATGTTCCATAACCTCTGCATCCAAGCTCAGATAAATTATTCTGAAAATATGGAGTCAATTTTGTTCCAAAATGAAATGTTTTGTAAATCGAAGAGAATATAACCCAGAAATTCAACTTTCGAGAGGCTTTGCCGTTCTGTCAGATTTGAATTTTTCCAAATTATTTGGTTTCCTAATTTCATTCTTTTAAATAGATATATTTAAAACTTTTCTCTGATTGAGTTTTACAATTTTATTTGATCGATTTTTTTTTTTTTTTTTTTTTTTTTTTTGCAATCCTCTGGATTCATGAGCATTTCTATTGGTCTGCTGGACGTTAGCAGGAGCGTTTGGATTGGACTGGAACTGAAGAGAAATAGATCCGAAAAAACCAAGAATGCAATTTGTAAAAGAAATCATTCTGAAAAACAGAAATTTTAGGGGGAAAAATAAAATACGATTTTAAATATAAAGTATATATTTAGGAAAAAAAGAAATCTGAGAAAAAAGCCAAGTTACTTACAAAACCTTTAGTTCAAATCATGTTTTGTTTTTTTAAGTTTCGTTTCTGGATTCCAATTTTTTTTTTTTGCCAGATTTCCAATTACAAAACCTTTTGTTGGTTAAAGACAGACTTTCATACTCATTGTCTGTTATGATTAGAAATGTATCTGTATTAAAAACACCTTATATTTTATTTACAAACCTTACTTTTAGTTTGGAGAATCACAAATACATGACTAGGCATGCAACTGAAGGAAACTTTAGTTTGCCTAAGGCAAAGTCAAATGCCTTAATAAGAACTGTTATGTATAGAGGTATGAAAGCATGGAATTTACTGCCAAATTACATTAAATTGATAACTGATTTAAGGAAATTTAAAAGATCATTGAAAGAACATTTATTAAATATAGAGGTGGTCTCATAAAACACGATTAGGACTGTGAGGGAGTACACAGTCTTCTTCACTTGCTGTGCTTTGTAGTTTGTTTTGATTAGTTTGGATTGTTTCTGTGTATGTATATGGGTATGTATGTGCATATATGTATGTGTATATGTGTGTATGTATTTATGTATATGTATAGATTATGGGAGATGTTGTTTTAATGTCCACATAATTGTATTCCATTTGTAATTTTTTTAATTTAATTTTTTTTATTTAATTTATTTTTTGTTGGACCCCAGGAAGAATAGCTGTAGCTTGCTGCAGCTAATGGGGATCTTAAATAAACTAAACTAAACTTTTATTTGTTTTCAAAAATGTGTTTTATAAATCTTAAAACTAAGATCAGCTGGTTACTTACATTTTTAAAGGAAAAGTCCAGTCATATTCAGAATACAAACTTCTGAAAGTACTTTAAATATGAAATTATTCCATACTGTTCAATAAATGTTAACTGTTTTTAATAAAGAGTAATTTTTTTTTGAATGTGCTTTACTGGAGGCATCCATGTTTGTCAAATAACACTACTGCCACCTACTGGTTTGTGACGTCACGGTGCGGTATCGGCTGTTGATCAAGTCCCAGTGCTGTATCTGGTGTTTGTCACAACGCGCTATTATACAAGTCAACTTGAAAACATTCTTCTTCCAAATGTTGGCTACGTTTTTTTTTCAGGCCTGAAGTTCAATGGCAAATACATTTTATCCCTTTTGGGCATTTATTTGATCCTCTATAGTTTGCAGAATCACTATATTTGTGATTGGCCTCATTGTGTGTTGAAGAACGCTGCAGACCAGCATTTAGCTCGATTTCCTACACCTGGAGAAGCCAGGACGCTCTGATCAGGCTAGAGTCTGACCTCATCTCTTATCCCGGGTTTCCTGACTGCAGCTTTGAAAATAATGGGACTGAGCTTTAAACTCTAATATTTTTGGCCTATTGTTGATGCAGCTTCTCTCTGCCGCTGTAGGGAACAGGATGATGCATCTGCATTGCTTTGGTGTGGAGAGCTGCTCCCGTCTCTAAGGTCTGATCACACAGAGCGAGATGTAATCATTTAGGCTGCGACGAACCAGCTGTTTAAAGATGGGAGATCCTTCCTAGTTTTTCTTAGGAAAGTTTTTCCTCCATCTGCTGGTTTTATCTCCGTTCTGTCAGTTCTCTCCATCCCCTGTACCTTCGTCGTTCTTTGGCGGGAGCTTGCACGCCGTCCTGCACATGTTGACGAATGCGTTGAAGTAGCGCTCCAAGCTCTCGTCCGTCTTCCTCTCCAGTCGGGCCAGCGCTCTGAACTGGGACCAGTCGAAGGCTTTCCTCTCCGGGTCGTACACAACGCCGAACGAGGAAACGGTGCGGTAGAAGTCTGCCTGTTCTCGGCGGGTCCACCTGCAGAGGAACCAGAGGATCCAGATGAATCGTCCGTTTCTGCTGCAGACTGAGAACAACAACAACCTGCAGCTCGGTCACCTCCTCTGCCACTCCAGGAACAGAGGGTCAGTCTCCGTGGAGACCACCGAACACCTCCTCAGCTCCTCCCCCAGCTGCCAGGCCAGCGGCCCGCCGCCGTGGTGGCCGTGCCCGGCCCCACCCATCGCCATGCCGACCAGGCCGTCAGGCAGCAGGAAGTCGTGTCTCAGCAGAGGCTCTCTGCGCAGCGTGAAACGCTGGTAGGCTGTGATCAGGCGGCGGAAACGGGCCGTCAGGGCGGGGCCGGTGGGCCACAGCGGCCGCGCCTGCACCACGTGGAGCGCCGCCACCCCCGACACTGTTCCTGTCGTCGTCGTGGTTACCAGGGGTGCGTCTTGGGTGCAAAGGTCAGCGGAGGTCTGAGAATCTGAGGGGGAACAAAATTGTAACTGAAGGATCTGGTTACTGGTTAACAACTAGTAATACGAAAGTTACGTATGTAACTACGGTTCTATGAATCCCCGGATGACCGCCAGAGGGCGGTGCTGAAAGCACTGAATGTTCCCTTCGGGCATGCGCAGTTCGAGTAATTATACCAACAGAGTCACACCTGTGACACCGGATGACCACTCAGAAGCTATATAGCCTGGTGTCATCCTTTGCTCTGCTCCTACACAATCTTCTCGCAAAAGCAAGGATTCTGAGTGACAGAGAAGCTCTGGCGGTCATCCGGGATTCATAGAACCGTAGTTACATACGTAACTTTCGTTCTATTTCATCCCTACTGACCGCCAGAGGGCGGTGCTGAAAGCACTGAATGACTAATGCCAACGATGTCACAAGGAATCCTGAGCACATACCTCACAGAGGAGGCCCAGCAGAACCTTGTAAAAGGACCTGACCCAGGGGATGAGGGGCAGCCACATTGACACTGTAGAACCTGGTGAAGGTGGTTGGGGAAGCCCATGAAGCAGCAGCACATATAGCTTCCAGCGGAACCCCTCTCAAAGCAGCCCAGGAACCGGTGACGCTCCTGGAGGAATGTGCTCTCACACCGACTGGCAGGGAGCAGTGACCTGCAGCGTAGGCGTGTCAGATGACACTCACAATCCAATGGGACAGACGCTGTTTAGAAAGAGGACAGCCTAACCTTGGACCCCCATAGCATAGGAAAAGCTGGTCCGAGCGTCTCAGATTGGCGGTGGCTGCAATGTATTCCTCCAACGCTCTTACTGGGCACAACAACTCAGACTCATTCTCAGTTGCACCAGATTGAGGCTGAAACCGAGCCAGCCGCAATGGCTAGTTACGGTGAAAAGGAGACAACACCTTAGGCACAAACGCAGTATTAGGCCACAGGGTAACACCAGAGCCATCTGGATTCCACCTGATACACCTAGGGCTGACAGAAAGAGCATGTAGCTCGCTGACCCTCTTAGCTGAGACGATAGCCATCAGGAAAGCAGTCTTGCAGGAAAGCCACTTGAGTTCTGCTTGTGCCAAAGGCTCGAATGGAGGGTGGCACAGAGCTGTGAGAACGGCAGATCCCAATCTGGGGCTCGTGGGGCTGGCCGCTGGCACAACCTACGAGTACCACGCAGAAAAAGTGAAACCAGTTCATGGCGCCCCACTGTACGGTTGTCAACAGTTCGGTGAAGACATGAAATTGCTGCAACATACACTTTAAGGGTCGAAGGAGAGCGGCCCTTATCAAGGAGAGACTGGAGGAACTCCAAAATAGTGGGCACCGAGCAGGAAACTGGGTTCTCATTGTGGGCAGAGCACCACTGAGAAAAGAGGCGCCATCTGTTAGCATACTGCAGCCGAGTGGAGGAAGCCCTAGCACTCAATACGGTGTGTCTCACGGTGTCTGAACACCCAGTCAGCCTCCCAGGGGCCATGCCCACAGCTGGAGACGTTGAGGGTTGGGGTGCCATATCTGTCCCCCCAACTGAGACAGCAGATCCCTCCTTGCTGGAAGACGCCATGGAGTACCGTGACACAGACTCCAAAGCAGCGGGAACCACGGCCGCGCTGGCCAGAACGGAGCTACCAGCAACACTCTGTGGCCCTGCTCGAGAACCCTCCGTAGAGTCGGCCAAATCAGTGAGAGGGGTGGAAAGGCATACAGGAGAACCTGCGGCCATGGATGAGCCAGTGCATCCTGGCCCAGTGCGCCCGCCATCCCGATTAGGGAATACCATAGGGGGCAATGGGTCGACTCCTCTGTGGCGAACAGATCTACCTCTGCCTGCCCAAAGAGGTTCCAGATTATGCGCACTACGTCGCGGTGAAGAGACCACTCTCCCGGAGCAGGTGCCTGGCAGGATAGAGAGTCCGCAACCTGGTTCTGCCGTCCTGGCAGATACGCTGCGCGCAGGGTACACAGACGGGGAAACGCCCATTCCAGGAGATCCCTCGACACCTTCAAGAGACGTGCTGACCTGGTGCCACCTTGGTGGTTTATATGATAAACAACAGAGGTGTTATCTGTCCGAATCAGCACGTGCCTTCCCTCTAGGTGGGGCAGAAGGCACCTGAGGGCCATGTGCACAGCCCGCAGCTCCAGCACATTTATGTGTTCGGTGCGCTCCCTTGGGTCCCAGAGACCCCGAATAGCTCTGTGTTGCCAAACGGCACCCCAGCCCATGAGGCTGGCATCCGTGGTGACCACCTCCCTTCGACACACTACTAGCCCCATTGGAACACCACTGGACAAAAGGGTCCCGTCTCGCCAAGGAGCTAGGGCATGGAGGCAGCTCCTGGTCACCATTAGCCTGCGATGCCTGTGCAGCCTGGCGTCTAGGCGAAAGCTGTTGAGCCATCGCTGCAAAGGACGCAGAAGGAGCAGCCCTAAGGGCACGACACGAGTGACTGATGTCAGTTTGCCCAGCATTCGCAGGAAGATGATGTAGGGAAACTCCCTGCCCAGTCTGAATCGACGGACAAGCTGGAGTATGTCGTCCACCCTGTGAACAGATGGACGGGCCATCATGGTAGCAGAGTCCAGATGCATCCCAAGAAAGGTGGTTGTCTGAGATGGAACAAGACAACTCTTTGCCAAGTTGACTTTGAGGCCTAACAGTGACACATGAAGTAGAAGCTGGGACGTATCCCGAGAGGCAGCTACCTGAGAGGGAGCACAAAGAAGCCAATCGTCCAGGTATGGCAGAATCCTGACTCCGGAGGCCTGTAGAGGAGAGAGGGCTGCTTTCACGCATCGAGTAAACACCCTCGGGGAAAGGGAGAGCCCGAATGGGAGCACCCGGAATTGCCAATGGCGCCCCCGATAGGCAAACCTGAGAAAACGGCGATGTTCTGCCGCAATAGGCACGTGAAAGTAGGCGTCTGTCAGATCTACTGATGTAAACCAATCTCCCGCCACAATGGTCTGAAGGACCTCTGTTATGGTGAGCATGTGGAAGGGAAGGACCTTCAGGTACCGATTCAGTCCCCTTAGATCTAAAATGGGGCGAAAACCGCCGGTCTTCTTGGCCACAAGGAAGTATGTGGAGTAGTAGCCTCTGGGTTGCCGCAGAGGATCAACAGACTCGATTGCCCCCTTGCCCAGGAGGGCGGAAAGCTCCTGGTCTAGTGCCTGAGATGTCACCGGGTCTGTGATGACAGTCATCTTGACCCGGTGTGAGAGGGGGGGCCGCCGTCGGAACTGGAGCCTGTAGCCATTGGTTAAGGTGGCAACCACCCATGGATCTACGGCATGAGCAGCCCAGAAATTCAGCTGCTGATGGGAAAAATGTCCGATGGCTGGCCCGGTGGCATCATCTTCTATCCCCATGGCCCCTGGCCCCTGTCCCTCCTCGGTCTCTGCCGCACATCATGGGGATAGGAACCAACAGGTCTGCCACCAGTCTGAGGTCATGGCTAAACGCTGGGGGTAGTGGCAGGGCGGCCCGAACGCTGGGGAAAGGCAGGTATGCTCCTGCGAAGGCCGGAAAGCTGCTGGCTAGTCTGACGTGCTTGAGCAGTCCGTTCCAGCGCCTCCAAGGCAGCTGATCCAAACAGCTCCCCTGGTACAACCGGGACACCCCTGAGGGTCCTACGGCATGCTTCAGTCAGAGGAGACTGTGCCAACCAGACCTGTCTACGAGCTTGGACAAGGAAAGACATGACCCGTCCAAGCTCTCTGGTCATCAGTGCGAAGGCCTGCAGCGCTGCGTCACTATAACCAACCGCCGCACTTGCACCACCAGTGTCCTGAACAGATGCAGACAGGGCAAACATGAGGTGCGCCAGGGAATTGCCAAGGCGGCCAGCACGCGCTCCTGCATTGTACGCCTTACAGAGGAGGTCATCTGTAACCCGACATTGAGTCCGCGGGCACCGGACATCAGGACGCAGGGCTTCATCTGGTGACACAATCAGTGAAGCAACAGCTGGTTCAATTGCTGGCATACGGTCCAGGCCGGCCTTCACCGACTCATGCATGGCAGCTAATACACGACCATCCGATGAGAGACGCGACAGCGCTCTCGGTTCCCGCCAACAGGCGTGTAACTCCTTCAAGTACTCCTCTGATGGAGGTACAGAAAAAGGAGTAGGAGCCCTTCCACGTCTGAAAAAGGCACTGCCGGAGCTGGATGCCTCTCCTTGTGGGAGTTCCAGCTGCAGCTGCTTCAGGGCCATAGACATGACCTCCCGCATGGAACCGTCACTGGCCTCTCCAACCGCACTCTGAGATGAAAATGAACCAGCCTCGGAGGCTTGAGAGGACCCTGCCTCCTCCTCATCTCTAAAATGAGAAGCGGAAGCAGCCAGAGAGATAACGTCATCCTCTACAACCAGCTCGGGCATTGGTGGGGAAGAGAGCCCAACCACTGGGAGCGAGGGATCAGATTGCCGTGTCTGCAACAAGGACTTCATCTCTGCCAGCTCTGCTGACAACTGCTCCACCCTTGTGGACAGGCCCTGGTCAGGTTTGGCCCGCTTCCTCCGGGGGAGGGGCACAGATGCTGTGGTCCCACCACGGCGCTTAGAACGCTTGGGGGGAACCACCTGCCCAGAGGGCGGAAGGTCCGAGCCCTCCTGGGGGCACAACTGGGCCAACCGGGCCACCCTCACTGCATGGGGCATAAAGCTGCAGTTCATACAGGGGTTCTCAGACAGCGCCTCCAAAAGGTGCTCATGTCCAAGGCAGGTAGGGCACAGGTCGTGGCCATCCTCTGCCTGCAGGGCAGCCCCACAATCCATGCAGCTGTGAGAGCCATCCATGTCGAAGGCCGACAAGGCTTAAAGAACAGAAAGTTATCGAAAATCGGGAGAGGGGGCGCAAACGCAGCCGTCACCAATTACAGCAGAGAAACGAAAGAGGCTGCGAGCACAAGGCAGCCGATACTGGGAGAGGGGGCGAGAACCGCTACCGTCACCAGGTATAAAACCAATAAACCAAAAAAGCTAACAACGTTAGCTGTATGGAAACTTAAGTTGGGAGTAGGAGCGAACAACGCTGCCGTCACCAATTAAGAGAGCAGACCAACGAAAAGGCTGCAAAAAAGGTTGATTTTGGGAGAGGGGGCGAAAACGCGGCCGTCACCATTCATAACTAAGCAGACCGATGAAGAAGGCTGCAAACAAACCAAAAAAGGCTAACAACGTTAGCCGTCTCCAACTTCGGCAAACGAAGTAGACCACACTTGGTTGGGAGAGGGGGCGAAAACCGCGGCTGTCAGTAATTATAGCAGCGCAGACCGGTGAAAAAAAGGATGCAAAAGTAGGGAATATACTGGGAGAGGGGGCGAAAACCGCTGCCGTCACCAGGTATAACACCAACAAACTAAAGAAGCTAACTACGTTAGCCGTATATAACTTCGGCAGTGAAGTTATTCACACTGGGAGTAGGGGCGAAAACGCTGCCGTCACCAGTTCGAAACAAAACAGCACGAAGCTGTAGGTAAAAAGCTAAAGTCGTGAGCCGGGAGAGGGGGCGCGGACGCTACCATCACCAGCAAACAACTCACTTACCTTCCGTAATCCTCAGAATTGACCCGTTGCAGCCCTGGGAGGGCGGAGAATAACCGCAACTCCGGTCAAGATACAGGGGCTTCAGACAACGGGGAAGTTAGCGAACCGCTTGCGAGAAGAAAAAAGGAGCAGAGCAAAGGATGACACCAGGCTATATAGCTTCTGAGTGGTCATCCGGTGTCACAGGTGTGACTCTGTTGGTATAATTACTCGAACTGCGCATGCCCGAAGGGAACATTCAGTGCTTTCAGCACCGCCCTCTGGCGGTCAGTAGGGATGAAATAGAACTGGTCATACAGCATGAAACCCAGTTCACCCAGAAGGAAACGACCCGCAGGCATCAGCTGGGATTACCTGCTTTGGTTCCGCACACACTCACCTGGAAGGTCTCCTTGGTGGTCAGCCGCCCCATCCTGAGCCGCGCTGTCTGCCTTTTCCTGAATGTCGACGCTGGAGCAGGTTTCCTCCCCCTGAGAGGAAAAGAAGCGGCGTCATCAGCAGTTTTGTCTTCCTCTCTACGGATCATTCAGGCTTAAAACTGATCCTAGATCAGATCTTTTGTTCTCATTCTTTCTTCCTAAGGGGGGAACTTCTTGTTCCACCAAATTATGTTAAACATTTATACAGGAATTAGTAACTCTAATTTAATGCTCATAGACATTATTTTAAGGCCATACACAAGTACCCATGCCTCTCATATATGCATTTATATGGTTCTGCTGGAGGTTTCTTCCTGTTAAAAGGGAGTTTTTCCTCTCCACTGTCACTACAAGCATGCTTAGTGTGAGGGAGTCAATAAGTGATGCAATCAACTGGTTTTCCTTAGATAGAAAACCTTGAATCAATTTAACTTTATGATCTGGTGAACTGTAAAGTGCCTTGAGATGACATGAGTTGTGAATTGGCGCTATAGAAATAAACTGAATTGAATTCCTGCTTTTCAGACAGGATTTTAGCTCTGTAGGTCTTACCAAGCTGCCCTGCCTCAGGTTCAGCCTTTCCATCAGGAAATCAGCTAACAGACCATCACTGCGTCCAAAAGGCATTTAGCACCACAGAGAAACACTGATATAATGAAGATGATGATGGAGATCTTTACCCGTCTGCTCTCCTCTGGTTCCTCCTCGCCATTAGCGCTGCTCTCTGGCTTTTCCTTCGCCTCCTCAGTTTTACAGCTGCTGTCAGAGAAGAGAGCCGACAGAGAGGTTTCAATACTGTCTGAGGGTGATGGGGAGGAGGTCTTTCTCTTTGTTAAAAAAAGGAAGTTATGTCCCCCTGAAGTCGATAACACCTCACAGCTTTCCTTCCAGTTGTTTTCCTGGGAGCAAGCTACTTGGTTTAATTACTCTTAACTCAAAACTTGGTAAAACTATATAAAAATGACTAAAAAACACGGCCATGCAGGTGGCGCAGTGGTTAGCGCACACAACATGTATGGAGGCCTTTGTCCGCAGGTACGTCTCTCCCCCTCTTATATCCCCTTTCCTGTCAGCGTACTGTTCATAAAACGAGCCACCAGTGCTGTAAAAGTTTAAAAAAATAAAATAAAAGAGTAAAAATAGGAGTTTATTCCAGTTCAGATCATTACCGAACAGATAAATTGCTTGGAGGCCAACAAATACTCACGAAGAAACATTTATACGGTGTTCGGGAAAATCTACGTCACCTAGGACTTAAAATGAATTGAAAACCACAGATGACTTGACTTCAAAAAGTTTTTCCCATCCTCGTGAGGAATGCTCTGAATTCAAAGCCAGTTTAGGAGAAGTTCTTCAAAATCTTCAGGTTTTTAAGATAAAAGCAGAGATCCAGACCAAACCAGACACTCTCAGCATCCGCTTCTCCACCAAAAAGCTTTGAGGGGAACTCTGACACCAACGAGCAGCGTACACAACCTGGGCCATGCATGGACACGGCGTTCTAATGGATTCCAACAGGTTCATGTCTCTCCTGATGCTCAGATTACAGCCGTCACTGTCACCTTCTGTTAAAGAGGACCTGAACCACTGATACTTTCCAATAAACGTAATGGACAACATGCAGCACGGTGAGAACATTTTCTGAACCGATGATCAGATTTCACCTCCTCAAGCCCCTGTCGCACAATTTAGCCAACGTATGCCTGACGTACGGAAAAGCTGGCATAAGTTATGAGCACGCTGAAGCATGTCGACACACGGCGAGTACGGCGAGAACTTTTGAGCACGCTTAAAATTTCCCGATCTTTGCCAGCTTATGCCATACGTGCGGCATAAGTTACAGGCAAGTTATCGGATTGTTGACATACGATCAGATTTTAGACAAAGAAAACTGTTATTTTATTCTACTACTAAAACAGTTTTTGTTAACACAATAGTCATTTCTCAATTTAATAGACGAGAGTACGGACTCGTGTTCTCGCCAAGTGGGTTCTTGAGAAGAACACAGTAAAGTCAGAAAAACACAAATAAAATGACGTTTTGCCAAATAAAACAAAAGACTCTCCATCATGGCCAGCGGTCCTTCACACACGGCTATGCAGAGAGAAAGGGCTGCTGCAGACGGGCTAACGTTAGCCCTGTCTGCCGTTAGCCTCAGAGGTCCACGGGCTGCCGAGGTCCGCTAGAATTCAGAAGTTGTTTTTTGTTATATTACACATTAAATCGGTTTTTGGGCCATATAGTGACGGTTAAAGGTATAATGTTTTCTCCTCAAATGATCTTAAAACTTACTTTTATTGAACAAGAGCAACAGAAAAGTGAACTTTTAACTTAATACTCCGAGTTCTGTGAGCGCTCTGCTGGAGGCTGCTGCTGCAGCAGTGCATGCTGGGACAGCAGTCAATCTCAAGAACAAGTCTGCTCTGATGCATGCTGGGTAAAGAGGGAGGGGTGAGAACAACATCCGGGGAATTTGTTCGTTCTCGGTCTGCTTGTTCTTGTGAATTGGAACAGTAATAGGGCCGAGGCTGATGACGTTTCACGAATACATGAAAAAAGCACAAGTATACATTTTGATGAACTGCCAAAGTTAAAAGTTGATTAGCTTAACATGGCTAACTGACCGAGCTAAAAGAGGCTAACCTGTTAGCTACTGAACACAGCTAGCCGCAGTGCTACCCAGCTCTCCCCCTCTATGTCATGGTCTAACAGTTGCTTTGTTCACCTTGAACACACTTTTTTAGGTTTTTTCAATCAGGTAAAACTTTATTGGTCATTAGACAAGCTAACGCTACAGATGCTCCTGACTCAGACGCTGCATTGTTACTATTGATGTCTGGACAAACTCAATATTTTACATCATGTGGCAACGTTCAGACCATCATGTAGCGTAACGACACTGGCATGAAGCAGGACCCGAGCAGATCTGGTACCTACAGTGGAACTATTAGAAACACTGTGCCGTAATAATCCAGGAAACTGATCCGAGAACAAAGCTTTAATTTTTCTAAAATCAGCAGAGAGCCAAATAAAAGCACAAAGTGAATTTGGCTTAACTGAACTGTGAGGTTTGTATTTGATGGTGAGTCCAAGTGTGAAGCAGGAACGTGGGCGGGAAGGCGACAGCACAAACAAACCAAAACACCAGGATGGGTTTTATTCACACTGCCGTTAAGTCCTGCTGTGAAAACGACTACAGGCAGCAGGAGGAGGAAGACGAAGGAGCGAGCAAACGCAGACGGAGAAAACCGATTAATAAGGAAGCACTATTCAAGGGTTCAATGGTTGACTGAGAAAGGAAGCAGTCATATAACAGGAAACAATGATCATAAAGAGGAGGGATTTTAAAAAGCAGGAGATCCATCCATTTCTTTCTGCTTTATCAGGGTCGCAGAGACAACAGTCTAAGCAGAGATGCCCAGACTTCCCGATCCATGCACACTTTTGGCCCACTTTTGTCCATTGGCCCTCTTGCACAACGCAAGAGGGCCAATCAGGAACTAGCTGTGGGTCTAGATACGGCCAAGGCGGTGAGGAAGTGGGGGCGAGTTTGTGCGACAACGGAGGGACATGAGGGCCAAAAAGAGTGGGGATCCAGGTGGAAAAAGGGTCCCAGCGTTCTCGCACACCTCGCTCTTCCAGCTGGTCCAACTCTATGAGTCATTTTCCACAATGGCGGTCATACAAACAAAACAAGCTGGTAAGGTACCAAACAGGAAATACACATAGTGTAGAGCGGATGTAGATTTGACCAATCAGAGGCCTCCTGTCTGCTGCACTGTCTGAGGTCAGCTAAAATTTTGGAGAGTTGCGGCAGAATGTCTGCGGAAGGGGCGTTCACTATGACAAACATACAGACGACCTGGTTTCTGAGAATAAACCAGCCTTAATTCTACGTTCACACAGCAGCCTGAAGTGACCCAAATCTGAGTTTTTTTACCCATATGCGAACTGTATCTGATCTTTTCATGGCAGTCTGAACAACACAGATCTGATTTTTTCCAATGCAACCCAGGCCACTCGGCTATGTGGTCCTGAATCAGATAAGTATATGATCTTTTTAAATGCGACCTGTGTCTGAACGTCCAGGTCGCATTCATCTGACCTGAACGTCATTAATAGAAGACATAGGTCACTATTCTGCGTCATGCTATGCAGAAGCAGGAAGAAAAACAACAACCATGGCGGACGGTAATGCAGAGAGCAGTCTTTTTTTTAAACCATCTTGAAAAGATTGTGTTTTAAGGTTGGGAAAGATCGGTAGATGTGCTGCAGCACTACCATCCATGTTTACTTCTGTAAACACAGAGCACGCTTGCTCGTGACGTCATTGCGTCCTCCACTGTGCATGCGGGACACTTAAGCTGTATGACTGTAGTTCACGCAGAAGATTACATACAAGTCGCATATATTTGGAAATGTGAACGGCAACGCAAACAAAAATCGGATTTCACATAAAAGTCGGACTTGAGCATTAAAGTCGTAGCGAAATTATATTTAAATGTCAAATCATTCTGGCTTAAACATGTATATAAATATACTCTTTATCAGATGATATTATCCCAAAATTTGGAAGATTTCTATTAAAATAAAAATAAAAAACACCTGAATTCGGCCAATCATATATCAGTGGTCACCTGTCAATCTAATTTTTTTTTGGTCGTAGCATCTTGATTCATATGTCGCTGCTAATATACGCAACTAGGAATGCACGATATAATCGGCCCCCTATCGGTATCGGCCTTAAAACTGAATATCGGACATCGGCCCCCCCACCGATATTTAACCCGATATTTGATCAGCTTCTGAGTTTCTAAAGTCTAAAATAAAAAAATTACAAAAATACTACTTCTTCCTCAAAAACTTCTTTTTTACAGACTTAAAAACTTCTAAAGAGGGAAAAAATATTGATACATTAAAATATCCCAATATCTTCATATGCTGATATATTGCCATTTAAAAACACCATATCAATCTCTTTTACTAATGAAATATTGCTATATGTCATCGTTATGCTACGAAATTTTGCCATATTTTTATATGTTGATATATTGACGCGGTATCGATCTATTTTACTAACAAAATCTCACAAGAATTTGCAAAATATCACGAGAGTTTGTAACAGAACATTGAAATTTCACGACATTTTGAAAGTAAAATAGATCGATACCGCGTTTTTAAAAATCAATTTCATATCAGCATATGAAAATATATTTGAGTATATTATTTTTCAAAGTGTCAGAAATGGATAACAAAACTGCTATTTTCAATGACTACTTATTTTTGTCCAGCTTTAACATCGGTATCGATATCGGTTATCGGCTACATGAGTTTTAAAATATTGGCATATCGGATATCGGCCAAAATCCCAATATCGTGCATCCCTATACGCAACGGTTGAAATAAGAATCTTGGCAGAGTAGCGGTGACCGTTACAGGTGTATAGTTGGAGAGCTAATTGTTGGCCATTTCTAAATTCAGGCGGCAGAAGCATATCTGCATTAACTGCGACACACGCAGACGACCTGCTTTCTGCGTATAAATCGGCCTTAACTGAGCTCCTCTCCCGACCTTGACGGGTGCGCCCAGCCAGCCTGCGAAGGAAACTCATTTCAGTCGCTTCCTTTCGGTCATTAGCCAGATCTCATGACCATAGGTGAAGGAAGGGAATGTAGATCGATCGGTTAATCGAGAGCTTTGCCCCCCCGACTCAGCTCCCTCTTCCCCACAACAGTCCGATAAAGCGACTGCATGACTGCCGACGCCGCACCCATCCGTCCCTCGCTCGTGAAAAAGACCCCCGAGATACTTGAACCCCTCTACTCTGGCAGAAGATATTCAGTAATAAAAATAAAAAAAACATCAGTTCTAAGGCTGATTATTTATGATTTAAAGTTTAATCCGTGAAGAAGGGATCTGCCTTCCAGAGCAGCTGATCAACACAATAAGCCCCTCTGACTATTTTCCACTGCTTCATCAAACCGATCTCCTGTTTCTGTCTCTAATTTTAGAAACCCATCTTTGTAATCCCTGTTTTACCTGTCGATCAGTTCAGCTACCGCCTCCGATCCTCCCTGTTCAGCAGACAGAGCCGTGACGTCCGGCATCCCAACCCTTTCCAGGAAGCACAGGTCTGGATCGGCCCGCATGGCGTTGTATCGCTCATATCCTGTCAGGGGAGGCCGCCGTCAGTATGACGTTCCTTTGAAATCACTAAAAGAGTTTAGAGGAAGGCTCACCGTGTTTGTGGACCCCTATGAGGAGCGATTTGTCGGCCTCGGCATCCCACCACATCACGGGAATCTCGATGTAGTCGATGTCGGGTAGCGACACGTCCAGTTTACTGCCGACGCACAAACAGTCAGCCGTCAAGTTTAGACTGATGAAAAGTGGGTGAAGAGCGGTTTGTCTGCAGCGTACCTGGCTGGTACCCCCTCCTGAGCCTGATTAGCGGCCTCACCCAGAACCTCCACCTTCAGGTAGTACAGCATCCGGACCCTCAGCAGCACCCTGGCAACAGAGAGGAAGATTCCAGGAATCCCAACATCGATGCATTCATGACGTTTGAGATTAATCGGAGTTCTAAAACCAACGTCAAACCAGAGGAACTCTTCGAGATTTTGAGTTTTAAAGACAAGAATTGATCTGCGACAGAATATTGTCATAAAATATTGTGTTTCAGCTTTTGATGTGACAGACATCAGGGAAGGTTATGGAGTAAGAAATGGGTCAAAATGTTTGCAAACCTAGAAATCTTAAATGAAACTGAAAGAATAAAAGTTGAAACAGAAAAAAATATAAGTTGAAATTGAATGTCAAATTTGTATCTTATAACCTGAGAAACCAAAAAAGCAAACACAGAATAATAAGAATTAAATCTAAATTCTTTCCCTCGACTTGAAAAAACTCATAATTCAATTTAGTATTTAATTACACTTTTTCTTTTTTTCCCCCCTTTCTTTTTTTATTGCCATTTTAGATTTTTTTGAAATCTCTTTCTTTCTGTTTATATTTCACACAGTGTTTCTTTTACCCTTAATTTGAGCAGGTAAATAAGATGATTTCCCACTGGAATGAGTATTTCTATTATATGCATTTAAAATAAAACAATGCAATTGTTTTTTCTTATTTTAAATGTAAATTATCTTGTTTATTTGGTAAAGAATCTCACTAAACTAAATTCAAGAAATAAATGCAATTATTTTAAGAATAAATGACTTAGTTTTTGCAGTGTACAGCAGACATTAATGATCTGGATCTTCCCTTTAGGTGTTTCATTAGAGCCTCTAAGAGAGCAGAGCCCTCCCCACACTGCAAACATGATGTAGAAATAAGTCAAACGTTTCTTAAATTAAATGTTTTTCCCCTAAATTTGAGCAGGTAAATAAGATGATCTGCCAATGGAAAGAGAATTTTTACTCTAAAAATAAGATAATTAGATAATATGCACTTGAAAACAGACAATGCAATTGTGTTTTCTTATTTTACATATGAATGTTCTTGTTCCATTGGCAAAGTGTATCACTTACCTCCTCAATTCAAGAAATAAGGCACTTATTTTAAGAAAAAAGGAACTATTTACATTTGTATTTTTCTAGTGCAGCAGCATCTACACACAAAAAAACGATTTTGAAATAAGTAAAAAAGAAAAACTTAAATTTAGTGTATTTACCCTTAATTTGAGTAGGTAAACAATATGATTTGCCAATGGAATGAGTATTTTTAACCCTAACATAAGATAATTAGATAATATGCACTTGAAATAAGAAAGGTTTTTTTTCTTATTTTAAATGTAAATTATTCTTTTCCATTGACAAAGTGTCTCAATTACCTCCTCAATTCAAGAAAAAATGCACTTATTTTAAGAAAAAGGACTTATTTAGATTTATGTATTTTTTGCAGTGCACTGACTTGTTGCAGTGCTGTTTGAGGTGCTTCTTGTAGCTCTCGTCCTGCAGCACCACCTCAGGGTTGCAGTGCACCAGCCAGTCGGCGTTTTTAACATCAGGAACATTCAGCTGGTTCTTCAGCTTTTTCCCCTTCCTGCCCCGAGGAACCGGAGCCGATAAACCTGCAAAAGCAAACAGTAAGTGTGACCCGAGCCGATAGGCTGCCAGGAAGCGGAGAGCGGAGAAAATCTAACCGGAGTGGTTGAGCAGCGCCTGGTCCTGTCCGTCCTTAGAGGGCGCAATCAGATCCCAGATGAAGCTCTTGATCTTGTCGTCACCTTTGTAGTGTTTCAGGCAGTAAACCAGCAGAGCCCTGATGGATCAAAGCAGACACGTTCAAGTTTATCTGCAGGCCTCGTTTCCTTGTTTTCACTTATTCCAACTGCAGCTTCTCTCACCTGCAGATCACCTCCATGTCTCTCTCTGCCAGGTGCCACTTGAAGCGACCGTGGTTCAGAATGTCTTTCCAGCGACCCCACCTGGAGAGATGAGAGAAAAATCCTCTGAAGCGTCTAAACTCAGGGGAGCATCTCTGGATCTGTTTATCTTCATGAGCACTAATAGAGTTTCTCCCCGCTGTAATAAACCTGTGAGGCCGTAGGAGACGCACACTTGAAGAAAATAAGGAACCACTTCATTTAAAGGAGCCAATCAAGTGAACGCTGATGGAAAAAAATCAAGCAGTTTTATGGGTGTAAATATCTATACATGAAATTATTAATTCACCTTTAAACTCCCTTCAAAGGCATAGACCTTTGATATTTGCAACATTTACCCTTTCTCTTTCATTTTTTAGCATTTAAAGGAAAAATCCGGTCATATTATGAACTCAAACTTCTGAAAGTACTAAAAGTATGAAATTATTCCATCCTGTTCAATAAATGATCAGTGTTTTTAACTCAGAGTAATTTTCATTCGAATTTGCTTTACTGGAGGCATCCATGTTTGTCAAAGAACACTACTGCCACCTACTGGTTAGTGACGTCACGGTGCGGTATCGGCTGTTGATCAAGTCCCAGTGCTGTATCTGGTGTTTGTCACAACGCGCTATTATCCAAGTCATCTTGAAAACATTCTTCTTCCAAATGTTGGCTACATATTACGTGTTTTTTCTCCTGGTCCTGCGTTCAGCGACGTTTTCCTTTACGGAACGCCTGAGAACAGTTAAACAGGTCCAAGCTAGCCTGAGCGCGCTGAGGGAGCTTAATTGTAGTCTTCACACGGGAAGAAAGCGAGAATGAGTTGAGGCGGGTAGGTTGGCCGTGATCTAGTTGGTGGATGGAGCCACGGACACGGCTCAACCTGTCTGTCTCAGACAGACGTGATGTCATTGGAGCTTCCGTAGTTGGCCACGCCAAGGCGATTCCCATAGTGAAACACCGAGCGAAGTTAGAAAAAGATCCTCCCTCTTCAAGTTGGCAATCCAACGACGAACCCGTCCGTGGAGGATCAGGAATCGGAAAGATGACATAATTTTTTTTTCCACTTTTACCTGTATTACATCATCCAACTGCCATGCACGTGGGCATTGTCAGTTTCACTATAGCTCTGGTGAATTTCAATGGTGAAGTCCTCTGGAAATCTTCAATAATTGTTGATTGCAGATGTGTCTAGTAGTTCCCATTGATTTTGCTTGTAAAGCGGGGAGAATGGCGCTAGGCTTACCGCACCGTGACGTCATTGCTTTCCAGTCAGCAAACTGGGCATCGACAGTAGGAATCAATTAGAACCAGTTCTGATGGATTCTCAGAGCCCAACCCTGACATATTGAGTAAGCATGTATGAGACTCAAATGCACATCTCGCTGTGACTGAGCTGAAGCTGGTGGCATCAAAAATATGGCTTATTACAACAGGCAACAGCTCTCTCTTGGTCCCATTGCAGACCTCAGTTACATATTGTAACCAGCTAGTGTAGTCACTAAAAGCTAATGTTAGCATGTGTCAATAAATGTCACCTTAAAGCCTCTCAAGTCCCTTAAACATCCTTAAACAAGTCCAAGCATCCAAATTATTGAGTCCTAACTGCTGGTCAGAGCGATGCTCCCGCTCTGATCAGAATCAACCACTCAGCAGCGATCATGCTAAGAAAGTAAATGTGTGATGGACATTAGGCTCCTTCAGGCAGATACATGTTCCAGATAGATTTTTTCTCAGCATTAATGTTATGATGTAAGATCACAAACAGCATCTTGCTATCAGTCTCTATTTCAACCAGACACTGACAGACTCAAAATGATGAAGTCCAACCTTTCTGCAGATCTGGACGTCTTACCCGAAGATGAGAAGGTTTTTCTCAACCCTGAAGCACTCTGCCCGAAGGTAGCGCCTGCTTCTGTCTCCAAGGCGACGTGTCCGGCAGGGCCGCTCCTCAGAGTCGCTGTCCAGCTCTGAGAACTCCATCAGCTCGTCATCCTCAAAGGAGTTGTAGTGACGTGTCTGTTTCCTCACGCGAGGCGTGTCAATCACCAGGGACTCCTGGATCACAACGATAAAAACATAGAAGTTTGGGATGGATGGATGGATGGATGGATGGATGGATGGAGTGATGATGATGATGATGATGATGATGATGATGATGATGATGATGATGATGATGATGATGATGATGATGATGATGATGATGATGATGATGATGATGATGATGATGATGATGATGATGATGATGATGATGATGATGATGATGATGATGATGATGATGATGATGATGATGATGATGATGATGATGATGATGATGATGATGATGATGATGATGGATGGATGGATGGATGGATGGATGGATGGATGATGAATGATGATGGATGGATGGATGGAT